GGGTATATACATATTATATTACTTATATATTATATTATAACATGACTGGATGAAGGGGGAGGCCAGGACAAGTCGGCCAGAGCCGATACGATGGGCAATCCACGCAGAGCTAGACGCTCGAGATGTGTAGAGGCCAAGTTGCCGGCATCTGGCTCGTTTTATAGTGGCCCTCTGTAACGTCCGTGAACAGGTGCTCTCGTCCAGCTGGCGGTCGGGCAACGAGGATACGTCATAGGCCCATTTGTCGGCAGCAGACCTATCAGATAATAGGCCCATCGGGCCCGTCTGCTGTGTAGCGGTATAGAGATACAAACAGATTATATGAATAATCTATCTTTAATACATTATATAAAGGAATACAAGACGAAGGATAGGAATGGAAGCGATGGGCTGTGTGTAGTAGAGTCGACGTAACAACAGCAGCAGCCTCGTTGTTTAAAACTTGCCCATTATATACTGATCCAGTGTAGTGCGACAGGTGGCCTCGGCTGGCGAGGATACGACAGGCCACTGTTATATAGTGGCCCAGTGTAACGTCCGTATCTTGATTCAGGATGCCTCGTCCAGATGGCCGTCGGGTAGCGAGGGTACGACGCTGTTCATAACGAAGATGGGTGCGAAAGACAATATGGATACCCTCTGTACGAGTGAAATGATGAAAAGTGGTTCCGTGGATTCGAAGAAGCGAGAAGGCGGGTCTGTGCTTATCCCGACGAAGTGGGAAGAGAAAAGCGTGATTAGAGTCCCTTCGTGAGTTATGCGACCCTGCCCATACAATGGGGGTAGAATGAGTACGAGTTACTAGAGAGGTCGTCATCAACGACAGTTCAGATTCTCGAAATAACTGTGTAGTTCTCCTTCGCAGGCTATTGGGAAGACATCCCTACGATTGAAATGGGAGCAGAAAGTACTACTTATACCAAACTGCTGATCAATTCAAGGCGTTTATTTTTCAAAGAAAAAAACATGCCTTCAGAAATTAGGCGTCGAACATGTGATTCAGGACGGAATTGCGGACATTTCTTTTGTGCTCCCGGATCTCTGGTTCGGCGAACTGTACCGTGCTGGGTTCAAAGATGCACGATCGATTCGCTATTACTCGGATAGGCCGTTTGGTCGCCTCGGTTAACACCATTAATGCGATCTGTCGTCGTGGACCCCACCTATTAGTTGCGAGTCAGTCAACAACTATGATACCGTCGGCATTCAGCCAAACACTTGCCAAAGAGCTGCCTCAGAATCCTTATGAGGTATGGGTTGGAACTGAACTTTTTAGTTTTTTGTTGTTTATTGTGTCGGTATTGATATTTGTTTGTGGTCGTTTACATTTTAGGTTGCCGTACTGCATTTGAATTCGCTCCAGTCCAATGCCATTACCCTTCAGAAGTTACGACAAAAACGCAATATTCTACAAGAAACAAACATTCCCAACACAATCTTTTTCCTGAACAAATGTGGAATTGAAGTGAGGTCAAGTTGGTGAGTGTGGTCGTTGAAACGACGTCTCGAAACTATTTTCGCTATTTCAGTTGAATCAACTGGATGGATTGAATATTATTCATGTGAGTGGCACAAAAGGCAAGGGATCAACCTGTGCATTTGTGGAATCCATTCTGAGAAGAGCAGGATACCGAACTGGATTGTACACGTGAGTTGTGGAGTTTTTCTATGCACTTTCAATAGCTACATCCAATTTGATGACCTTCAGCATTCATTTTTACATGCTAAGAGTGGCAGCTCACAGCTCCGGACTGATAAGGCGCGAGCAAAGTGTTCACTGGTGCGATTGGCGATTTTGTAGACATCGCAAGCTGAAGTAAAGTAATGGGCGCGTAGCGTGATGTCTAAATCGTTTTCAAGAACAAGCAAAGAAATGTAATTGAATTAATGTGGTTTTTAAACCACGCAGGGTAAGTATCGAGCCTACTTTCGAAAGTTATTGCTATCAAGTAAGGCACATTTATCAAGGAAATCGGCATAGGGAAGAAGAAATGCCGAATAAATTTTGCAAAGCACCATTATACATATATAATATAAATAAATATATATGCAAAACACAAATGAATATATACAAAGAACAAGGTTCATTATATGCGAGCAGACCCATGTTAAGTCGATATAGATTTATGGCTGCCAGTTGTCACTCACCGACCCCCGGGGAAAAGGCCATCATTGTTGAAACTTCACATTACCAACCTATGTCACATTACTTAAATTATCACCACAATGTTGTCTATTGAGGCTAGCCATAGTTCAATAGGTGGTGTTGGCAGGGAGGTTGGTGAAACACGAAGTTTTTTACTGATGGATTGATTATCTGCTAATGTTGCAATAAGATCGAATATTGATCGAATACTCTTATGCACTAGTGGATGAGCGCAGTGTTAATTGTATATAATTGTGTTTTCGGAGTCAAATATGGTTGTTTCATAGCTGAGTCCACTATCGATGGGTCGGTGTTGATTCTCTGCATAAATGAAGTCTCTAGAATACCATTTTAATTGTGCACTGTTTTAACATATACATTCATCTTGACCCCATTTCTTTTTTTCTCATGAGAGTTTTTGCGAGAACCGGTTTCGAATGAGGGGAGCCTTTCAATCTAGAAAGGACAGGTACCTTGGTAAAGTAATTTCCGTTGAAAAGAGCCCATTGAGTATAGTCTTGAAAAGTACTGCGTTACTCAGTGACATAGTAGTCTATCGGAGAGCCGTCAAGTAAATAGATTCGTGTCGTTGATCCACTTGTATTGCAAAATGTGCTTTGCTGTTTTGTGGTTACTCATTTGGAAATAAGTGAACGGGCCTTAGTGGTTAACAGTTTAACTTTAGAGTACATTCTCTTGTTCATCTTTCCCATTTCTCTTTTGAGCGGTCCAAATTACATTTCGAAAACTATTTATACCAGATTCGTGTCTTCAGGTCACCTCATTTGGTCACAGCTCGAGAGCGAATTCGTATCAATGGGAAGCCTATCAGTGAAGCGTTATTTGCCAAACATTTTTTTACGATTTATGATAAATTAAAAAAGGCAAGTCACACATACTCCAGTATATTTCAATCCTAGGAAACTTTTTTGCAGGATGAGGACTTGGATGGAATGCCAGCGTATTTTAAGTTTCTCACTCTTCTTTCCTTCCATGTGTTTCTTGAAGAATCTGTTGATGTAGCTATTGTTGAGGTGGGAATTGGTGGAGAATATGACTGCACGAACATTATTCAGTTAGTTTTTCCTTTTTTGTGTTTTTCCCTTCTCTTGGCTATGTTTTATTTTTTTTCTCTTATTGTGCCCATGCCTCGCAACCAGTTCTGTTTGAATGAGAAGTTTCTCGGCAGCCTCTATTTATCTTGTTATGCTCTTCCATCTCCACCACAAGAGAAATGAAGGGTCTTGGGAGGTGTATATCAGGATAGAGCCCCGATGTTTTCGCCTTCATGGCATGTACCAACCCATTATTTTCTGTTTTTCGACGGATAATTTCCGTGCATCTAAACCCTGGCAATATGTTATTTTACTTTTCAAAGCCCTCGTACTGTCACTGAATGAGAACTAATAGCAAATTCTGACTTTTCTTTTTTAGGCACCCCGTCGTGTGTGGCATCTCCACTTTAGACATTGACCATACTTCTATATTAGGATCCACATTACCATCTATTGCGTGGAATAAAGCTGGTATTCTTAAAAATGGCACGCCAGCTGTTATGACCCCTGCTCCGGCTGATGCTCTTGCTGTGATCGAGGACCGTAGTTTGGAACGCGGGGTGAGTTGATTTCAGTGAAGTAAGTACAAAATAAGAGGAATATCTGGAAGGAAAAAAGGAATATCGTTTCACTCTTTCCCTCGCAGCTCTGCTGTTTTTTGTTCCTTTATTGCTCACTTCATCTCTTCTAATAATCAGTTAGAAAGCCTAATTGGCGATTTAGGCTGTCCTCAGGAAAGCTCCACCGTATGAGTCTTACTATTTTGCAACTGGTAGTGTATCTGCTGGGATCGATGGTGAACATCAAAAGGTCAACATTTCATTGGCTTTGCAGTTAACGAGAGCGTGGCTCAAGCGAATGGGACGTGAAGGTATTACATAATTATTTTTTTGTAAAGCTCTTTTTCCTTTGATTCATAAAATTGTTAGCGAATTCACTCCACGTTACAGAGGATGTATATCCGGAAGCATGTGAAAATGAATGGCATATCGGTCAGCCCTTCAATGTTCCACAACTGGTAGTTGAAGGAATAGAGTCATGTCGTTGGCCAGGTAGAAGTCAAATTGTTAACACTGAACGAATCACCTACTACCTGGATGGCGCACATACTCCAAAGAGCATGGAGGTGAATTCTTATTTTGCGTCTTGTCAGGAATGTCGGATGCGTTTCCCATCCTCTATCCATCGTTGAGCACAGTGTACTATTGTAGATGTGTTCGTTGTGGTTCGGAAAAGCAGTAGCGAGAACGCCCAAAATGAAGCGAGTCCTCGTTTTCCATTGCACTGCTGATCGCAAACCATCTACTCTGCTTCCGTACCTTACTGTAAGTAATTTCGATGTTTCGTATTTTTTCCGACGTTGGCCAAACACAAACAGGTGTTTCTTATAGTTTTTTCGAAATGGCTGCACTCCCCAAACTAGATTTCAATGTCAATACCGTGTTTTTAGTGTCTGTTTTCAAAGATGTGATTGTTTTTAGAAGCATTCGTTCGACTATGCACTTTTCTGCCCAACAGCATTGAAGGTATCCCCCGATTTGAAATCTGACCTTACTAATATCAATCAGCCACTGAATGAACAGTTAGTTCGCAGTCAACAGTGTGCAGCAGCATGGAAGGAGTTAGGAACGGGGGTACGTTAGTCTAACAATTTGTAACTTTTTATTTTCCCATTTTTGAATGTAACTTTTAAAATGACATCACTGATGAGGATTTTCTAACACTATTCAGGAAATTTCCGTCTTCGATTGCATCACTTCCGCCGTTGAGCATATAGAACATTTATCAAGAACTGAATCATTGGATGTATTCGTCACTGGAAGTCTTCATTTGGTCGGAGGCGTTTTGTCACTTGTTGAACCGTCAATTGACTAGACTAAAATTCACTTCACCTTCATTCCCATACAGCTTTTGAAGATATCATGACTTGTGATACGTTTGAATTCCATTCCATTTTCACCAAACTTACGGTTATAAATTGAGATTTTTGTTTTCATTCAGATGACTATAGACTTAGGCTCAGGTTGAAGGTTTTTCTGCTTGGACCTCAACTCCTGGAGGGCTCCTTTCAAAGCTATTATTGACAACATTGTAATCGATTTTTCGGTTGTGTGATTAAATTCCTAACTTTAAGAAGGTAATTCTAAATTTGCCCTTAATATCGTGAGAGTTTAGAACTTGTGCAATTATGACGTTGTTAAAATGTATGTTGACTAGTTTGTAGGCGTTACCTCGTTCTTGTCACTTAAAGCATGGTTGTCAGTGTCTTGGAAAAGTTTCAGCACTAGTCCTGAATAAGTTTATTGATTATTAAACTTTGTTGTGTTGTTGTTTTTCAAAGTCTCAGTCTTGAGAATACTATTTGTATGACGGATAAGACGATAGTTCTGAGGTGAAGCCTACTTTCAGTGAACTTCCTATGAACTTGTACTCTATCGGTTTTGCCCCGAATTCCCCTACGTGGTTGTCCAGATGGGATTTTCAATGGCCTTTTTTGAAGTCTTGTACCACACTTCATTGACAGTAGAGAAGGGGATGCTTCAGTGCTATTCGAGGCGTTTTCATGTTTGACACAAGAGTTGTATGAGGTTTGTATTGCTGGTATAATATCAATGCACTACAAAGGACTGCTGCAGTACAGTTAATCCTTGCAATGATTATAGTTACAGTATAGTGATGTCGTGTAGAATGTTGTATAACTTTCAATACAAATCCTGGGAAGTAGGGTTTTTTTCTGAACGCAACACAGATAACGTGGCTGGCAAAAGGAAAAGTTCGAAAGTAGTGGATGTTTATGTCACTGTACATAATCCTTTAACATTTAAACATGACAGAACAGTAGCATTGAGTTTGTCAGGTTAATCTGACGTTACCTTTTTGATCATTAACGAGTGCAGGTGTAGATGTCTGGTCTCTGGTTCTCTGGTGCATTGTTGCAATATAATCGTTCCATTGACCTACAACACCCTAGTCTTGACATAGTATCAACCGCAATAATTGATTACGAAGGAGTTTCTGGCTGGGACAAAATTCCTGGTCAGCCTCAACCGCTCAACTAACCGACCGTCTGTCTGGATGTGAAATACCATGAGCGTCATGTGATTGATATGTGAGGGTTCACTTCTAATCATACCTCGACTATATTGTTTTGACTATTCCATCAAGCAGTAAACCTCATTTGTAGCTGTGGTCCCGGTGGGGATGGAAGGTGATGAAAGGTGGAAGCTGGCTCGTACGCAGGTGGGGTCCTTCCCCAGTTACTGAACTGAGCTTACTTGTCAAGTAGTTCCACTGTGAGTCTATGCGTGTTTCAGGAGCAAATGAGTGCCCCATCGGCAGGTGAGTCCTTCAGGGAGTACTGTATTTTCGCAACTATTGTGAACATTTCAGAAACTCTGCATCCAGTACCTCTGTCTCCATCATTACGTGGGGATTCTACCGCATCAGAATCTCTCGAAGTGTTGCAAGATGACCAGGTTCACGATGAAGAACTAAAGGTTGTCCCCTTGCTGTGTGACTTTTGGAAATCTAACTTCTAAATGATTGTTACAGATCATACTGGGAACGCTTACTCGTATGGGTGCTCAAAATCAGATGTGGAGCAACAAATTTGTGGCGCTTAATGTGATTGTTTGTTATGTCACTACATACACGACTTACGCTCGATTTTGTTACTTTTTGGATCGTTTTGGCTGTGAGTGAAACGATTTGGAACGTTCGAAAAGTCTTTATCAGATTGCGCCCAAGATCCAGGACTGATAGTAGCTACTTGCGGCGATAATCAATGCCTATTTTTCTCATGCACACCAGTATGAGGATAGGTCCATCGACTTAATTGCCTCTGTTATGCACAGATTTCAAAGTAGCCGGATTGTGGCCCTCTTTTCATGGACACTGAGTGATGGTACGGGAGACGAATGCGGTGATAGTGATTGCCATACGGAATGTAGCACTCCATCGTGTGCAACCGCTCATCAAAAGAAACTTTTTTGTAATGTTAGGAGAGTCAGAATTCCTGACATACTGATACCACTTCCACAATCATAGCACTATCGTTGCTACTGATTCATTTCCCGAGGGTGAATCTTTTCCGATCCGGTCGTATTAGCTATCAACACATGACTTACAAAGTAGCCTCAGATACATTCCTTTTGATGGCCCTCAAGTAGAATATCATCTAGTACGGATGGATTATCAGAGCCTTTTTGTCCTCTCATATGAAGCAGAAAATGTATACGTCAGTTTGTCAATCTGTCTCCTCGTTCGCAAAACTTCCACAATTATGGTAATGGGGTGATATGGGATACACGCCGCCAACTGGATGTGCAATCTGCAGGGAGTAAGTAAGTCATCTTGGCACAGAACCTTTTCGCTACTCCACCACATTCTCACGCGTCCTCGCGCGGCTTCACTGAAAACTGTGATGGCTCAGTAGTGTGGTGTGGAGAGGCGGGAAGCAACCAATTTTGGCAGCAAGGATTAAAAAAAAATAATACTAATTCCTGCTGAGACATTATGCATTCTGTTTCCCCTTGCTCCTATGTCTCTTACTGCTCTATCTCTCATACTTAGAAGAGCGCTAGAAATAAACCATTTCTTTCGTAGTTGGCTCATGTGCTAATTTTTTGATAATTCGTGCCGTTATTTTGCGGCTATCATGCTCGGCGAAAAGGCATTCTAGGAAGTCTGCTTAACATTCAACAGCATCGACGAAGAGGCTGTAAGGTGGTATGCAGCGCCTTCAGTTCCTCCTTCAAAACTACACGGGCTCCCATAGAGACCTCTTCGAAAGCTCATAACAATGAGTTTTCAGAAGTTGTTGTTTTCAGTTATGTTCATTCCCGTATTTCTCGTTTGCTTACTTTTTGTCGGGCTTCCGCTTGTTTACATGGAAATGGCTTTGGGTCAGTTCACAACAATGAACGCGGTACTCGTCTTCAGAAGAATGGCTCCAATAGCCTCAGGTGAACACATGCAGTAATTGTTACACTTGTAGTTAATCGGTGCTGAAGTAGTTATTTTTGTAGGTCTCGGAATATCAATGCTCTTTCTTGGACTCTTGGTTACTGTAATCGATTTCACCTTAATATTCTCGTTGCTCAGTGTCGTAGGAAATTCTATACAAATCAATACTAACGAAATGGCATGGCATCGATGTACGAATAAAGCCGATGGTCAATGTGAGGTTTTATTTTTTTATTTTTTGCAAGCATTTTTTGTAAGTAGCAGCTTGTGCAAGGATGTTCTTTAGCGTGTGTATCAACTTCTTTAATGTCTTGTCCTATACGATACAAGGAAGACTTCATGGAGGATAATATAGAGGGAAAGTATATGGACGAAGCATGGAGCAAGAGATTTCTTGTGATGTAAGCAAAAATCATTTTTTGATAAACCACGGTATTTCTTCATTACTGCTTCGGTTTCAGCGATTTCGGAGGAGACTGTATTCGATATGAACGTTATCTGGCCTTCTTCTCTCATTCAGCTTTTGAGTATTTTCCGTCCATAGTTAGTATGGTTTCTAGCCCTGCACTAGATTACTTGTAAGTTGTTAACTGCTTCTACGAACCATTTTTTAGTCCTAGAATTCGAGCAATAGTTTTTGTAACGGATTCGATGTTACCAATTCACTGGTTTCTCGAATGCTGAGGCGCGGAGCTAGACTGTGGAAAGATAGCTTAAGATGTAGATATTTTATATGTATTCTATTGGAGTTAGAGGTGTTCCCCTTCTGGTTGTAAAAAGCTAAAGGAGGCAGGAGAGAGGGGCGGGATTTGGAAGATGGGTGGGCCTTGTGTGATACAGTGAGCCCATGGTGTAGGTTCAGTGCTCTATCATAAGCTCACAAAAGTGGTGAAGTTTTTGCGTACACGGAAAAATTTACGACTTTGGTAAGGCGGATAGTTTTGAATGGGGTTCGTACAATATCTTGTGGTGTGCACAAAACATAATTGTCTAATCAAAAAAAAGCAGCGTTTTTATGCTCTTCAAACCGATTATCTGATTACACAGGAAGAACCAAATTGGCATCGATAGTGGATCACCTCCAGCATTTGGATTTCCTTCTACGGACGATATGTTACTATGGTTCTTAAGCTGGTTGCTTATTCTCATATTATCAAGGCAAGGAAGAAGATTTTTCCTGAAGGTAATTTCAACCATGTTTTGAAGGGAAAGCGTTTCAAGAATCCGGGCATGGGTTCAGGTTCCGATATTAATGCTAAAATCGTCTGCTGGGCAGTGTCGGATGGGTGCACGAGCTACCAGCCGTGCCATCCATGAATTAACGTTCGTTCCGTCCCACTCTAGGCATTTCATGTTATCAGGGTCTGGAAGGGCGCGCGATTCTCGCGTGACCCCATTAGAGCTCTTCTCGCACGCAGTCTTTGGTGGTTGGATCTATTAACACAAACGGTGGCTGAAGCACCACCCTGCCATTTTTCTTACCTCTGTTAAGCACGGATTTTGGTTCAATAACTTCACGCTATTAATTGATTTGAAGTCAAATGTTTGGTCTAATCCAAGTGGTTGAGTCAGTTGCACCACCTTAAAGTCCTGGGTAGGTTCGTCAGCTAAATAGAGAGTGGATCTTTATAGTTGCATCATAGAGAATCCGTTTGCCTTAGTAACAACACTGAATTCAAATATGTCATTGAGAAAGGCTTGGATCAACAGTAGACGAAGGGATTGGGACAACCGGACAATCGTGGGAAAGCTGGAATACTAGGTAGTTAGGCGAGGACGACGGTGTCAAATGACGTGACAGCGACAACGTAGGACGAATGAACTCGGCATAGTGATGGGCACGCCACTGTAGATGGCGAGTCAACTTCCAAGGTACTGTTCCTTCCATCCCCTGCCGAACTGCATCGTACGATGACTTTCCGGGAAAGACCACATCGCGCTGGCCTTATCAGGTTTCCTGCGAGTCGAACGAAAGGTACGACAATCAGTTGGTGTGCAATTTTGAACTAGCTAATGACCCAGTCGAACGAGTGGTTTTATAAAATGAAGTGAATTATTTGTCATGGAATAATGCGATTTCAGGCATGTGTTATGGCCACGGTGGTGTTCATTTCAACGATGATTACTGTGCTAGGTGTGATGTTATTAAGAAAAGAAGAAGCGTATATGGGCATGTACTTAGATCTCCAATTCCATTTACAAGTATGGGCTGCAGCTATTCAGTTGGTACGGTAACCCACGTGATTGTCAATATTCAAGTGTAATTTGAAATTCTAAAGCAATATTTCCAGACCTTGTATACGCTACGTATTGGGCAAGGAGGTCTATTTTTTCTGGGTTCACAGAATAGATTCACAAACAGCCTTCTTGTGTGAGTTTCACTCTCAAAAGTTTTCAAAGCTTACTGATACCTGTCTGAACGATGGTAATAAATGGTAAATGGTAAATGAGCGATAATTCAAAGCCAATGGGACATTTGTATATGTCAGAGAGGATGGAGAAAGTTCCATTAAGAAAACTATTTCACCTTACGTCCACGGCTCTTCATGATAAAGTCTCATCTTAGCCCCCCAGGCTTTCTTCTAAAATGAGCTGTAAGCAGTCACTAGGTGGGCTGGACCTTTGAGCTTGGCTATTCCAGGAGTTGGTGTATATTAATAGATTTGCTTGAGTTCCTAGATGTTATATAGCGCCCCTTAGTCTAGCAATNCCCTACAGGGCCCTTCCTTGGAGTTCTAATGAATGTGAAGAGCAAGTACCTTTGAGCCTAAATAACTGTAGTTACAAATATAAGGCTATGTATAGAGTCACCTCATACTCAGTCCTCATCATCTTCTCAACCTGCGCTAAGCTGTTGTTGATTGGGGAGCCCATTTAGGAGCTGAGCGCCCATTTCTGAGCCTTTGCTATTACGAGGTGTAGCGTAATTATTACTTTCGTTAATTTGCACATTCTCTCAACTTCTCTTTACCCTTTTCTAAAATAGTAGTCACACTGTTTACAAATCGGTTGCAAAGTCCAACTTCATCATAAACTTTGTAGCCATTTTAATGTTCGATTGGTTCACTCACTCACTAGTTCAACTATCTGGAATTTGAACTCGTTCGAGACCATCCGAGTTTTTTGCACTTGTAAAGCCCGGTGTCAATTTACGATTCCGAAGGGCCAGAATTTTGTCAGAATGAGAAATCTTTGATTGAATAAACTGACCTTTCATCCCTCGGAGCGCCTCAATATGGGTACGGTGTTCTAATTTTGTCAATTAATCTCGAAAGTGACGTATTACAGTGATGCATTTGCTATTGTCATCTACGTCTTTGCGGCAATATCCCTATTCTCCACTGTGCACATTTTATTCCGTGCCACAGGTGGTTTACACCTATCTGGTGGAACCAGCTATAACTACCTCATAAACTGTAGGTGTTTTCGTAAATATTGCCAGATTTGATGAGATGAATGCCACCTAAAATGAACTTTATATGATATAGATCAATTAAGGGCGACAAAAACACGAAAATTCATATTCACAGTTTATATCATACTGGAGTACTGCCGCAGATATTAGTGTTTATGGGGCATATGAACCGTTTCTGCAGTTTGCATTATCCTGTGTCTACCTGATGATATCACTGGTTAATATTGTGAGTGATTTTTGTCATAACTTCGGAATACGGCACAAATCGTAATTGCCAGTAAGGTGTCAATTCTATTGGCTCAATTTACATTTCCAAACTAAGTCGTCCATGACTGCTATGTAGATAAATGGTAAATACAGACTTACTGATAGGCAGTTGCCACAGTGAGAGTGTGTCGGTTCCATGCGAGAAAGTCGGCATTGAACTGATCTGCTTACTTCTTTTACAGCGTCTGGCACTGGAAGCAATAGTTGCTAATTGCATCAACACACTGGATGCCATATACGATAACGTGTCGAACTGGTCGATCAAATATGTCTCGACTATGTTCCTTGCCCTCTTTTCGTTCACTCTAAACAGTAACGTAAGTTTTTTTTTTTTTTNTTTTTTTTGGTATTTTTTCGCATAACAAAAGTATCAAAGGACAGTGTCTCTGGCATTAGTCAATCGCTTTTTCGGATGCGCCCACACTTTATTCAAAATCGTAGTGGTGGTTTGAATGCGTAAATGGGCTATACAATGACTTGCGGTGGTCAGTCAATGTAGACTTGGTACTTTCATCTTCCCAGTTTTGTCTGATACCAACTAGCGGAGAGATTCAGGGCTTGGCTGACCTGGGTGAATATCGGGGACTCAATACACGGATTGTGTGCCACCTGCTCCTACACAACCCCACTTGAAAGTAATATTATAAAAGCCTCTAACATGAGTAATGTCATGTTCTATGCACCCTGCAGTTTCCATACCTCTTCATGATATTTATTTATTTATAATTTATAAGTTGATTCCACTACAGCATAAGATCTATTTGAATAAAGATTGTTAAGAAGAAAGAAGCTGTGAAAACTTTGGCAGCCGCAGTATCACAAGTTTTTGTAGATCACTAATCTTTTTCCTTTCAGGTAGGATTCGATACGATTGTCACCATCGAACACACCGTTATACCGGTAGCTACAGCTTTCATAGTAATGCTGGAATTGGTTGTCATAGGAGTTTTCTACGGATTCGAACGGTTATGTGCAAATGTTCTAAGTATGAGCAAGGTTTGTCAGCCAAGCTTGGTTAAGAACTGTTGAACAGGAAGCTTTAGAATTTTTGAAAGTTTTGGACAACCGATATCTTGTTATTTTTACGCAGTTTACTGTTGCCTGTACTTTTCAGAGAGAGGATCGTTTTCAAGGGCGGATTTGGAGCTTCTTCTGTCTATATCTGTGGAAAGTCTCGTTTCTCTTAATACTGGTGGGTTAATTAAAGCTTTTACGAGAAACAAATTTTCGCGAAGTTCCCTACTTTCTACGAAAGTTGTTTTCAGTAGTATTTTACCTAAAAGAGATACGAGGGTAACTGTACCTTGTCGATTCAATCTAAAAATATCTGGGTTTCCCTTGAAGGGAAAAAGACTCCACAAAAAATGGTTATTTTAGTTGTCATTCCTTTTTTACTATCCGGTTCCACCTGATGGAATGGAACAGGCTGCTTTACGCATAATTAGTTGTATTTTATTTCCAACGCCAGCGCTCGCTCTGATAAAGGTTGGTTAACAAAATTATTTTTTTAAGTATTTTAAAAGAAGTCCGTCAGTGGGCGGAGTTGTCCGGAATAGGCGTGTTTGTCCTCTATCCCTGTGGTTCTCCTGTCGGAAACGTTGGAGATTTCTATTCAAATGGCCTAAGAAAATGACTTAGCCAAAGCCTATTCAGATTCTGCAGACATTAAGCAAGATGAGAAACATAACTATGCTGCTTACACCAGAGCATGAGTTGTGGGGACCACGTATGACAGATGATCGACGAAGGGCGCTGAAAATTGAAAAGAAAGTAAGATAATCAATTCATATGATATTTATGTTTTTGCAGTTACCTTAAAATTAGAAAGGATCCCGCAACTTTGTCAGCGTGTGTGAGGTATGGTTACAGTTATAGTAGAAGTAACCGATGATTCCGGACGTACGGATATTATGATACAACTATATTCCACACTTAAATGAGGCAGGCACATGAGGAGACAGATAGCTAGAAATTATCGCGCGCTACTGGCTGACTATACCCACACGCTTCACGCGCGTAGGATCGACAAAATCAATACCCATTTCAAGGACTAGGCGCAAATGAGGCCTCACATATGGGAGTTTCAAGTAGTTTTAAGCAGCTGTATTTCTCCCTTTCTCTACCTCCAAGTCATCATAACTGGCTCGGAACAGATCTTGCCAGCCATCCTCAAAAAAATGGGAGTTTCATTGAGACGCTACTGATGCCTAACAAAAGCGAAGAAGTCTGCCATCTCAACAATTTTTTAACTCTGTTATCGCTCAGAGTACGTCCAGCTTTCTCAGTCCACCTACGATGGTTTTTGAGGTCCTTTTCTATTCCTGGGGTGCGTTCTTTCAAGAGCCCTGTGATGTCACTCCAAATTCACGTGCATTTCCTTTGTATTCCTCATCGCTGGCCCTTTCATTTCTGGCGCTGTAAAATACCGACCGGCAGTTATGATTCGATAAAATTTTTTCCTTTTCAGCTACAAATTAGAAGCTACGGGTATTGGCGTTGGTAACTACTGGAAATACGGCATTTANTTATATAATCAACCTCAATCGCTATCAATTATCAGGAGCTATCATTTTCAAAATTTGAATTAAAGGATTAGCTTCATGTGTTGATTCTGTGAAAGCAACCAAGACAGGCATTTTGCCACTGCCTCGTTGTAAATTTTGAAAATGGCTTAACTATAAAAATTATAAACTAGGTAAAACTCAAAGATCAATCGTTTTGGAGCTAAGGAAAGCTTGATTAGCTAGTACAAATTTTGATTAACGCAATGCGATGCGAGGACTTCAATCATCACATACGCTTATTCTCAGAGAGCATTTATCGCGACTATAGTACCCACTTGGATCTTTCCGACCCGCATGTAGGAAGTTGTATGTCTAGGAGTATTCGTTACACCCTATGGGTGGGAAGTGATCTTTTTCGGTCTACGACGTGACGCAGGGAGTTTGAACTGCTTTAACCAGGGCTCAAGTCGAGCATTGCCGAAAATTCATTTTTACAAATTCTTCTAACAGCGCCAAGGGCAAGTCAAAGGTGATATTAGCAAGTTGGCAATGAAAGTTGGTAGCTTCTCTTTGGAGGAATCGAGCTCAAGCATGGAATAAATCGCTTGCCTTTTCCTGCATTCCTAGTAGGGTGCAAAGTAGGAGTCCCACTCGATTTGGTCGGGANAACGCCAGGTTACCGCACCCGTCCACTCTATTAATGGGCTACTGGCCGTCACATCATATTGCCCTTAATCCAACGGGGCTCGACTAATTTGTCAGGCGAATTACTTTCGAAAGACATAGGTACTATGTATGACGAACATCAAATGCGTCGTTCGATGACGTGCCGTTGACATCATCTGCGGCGTATTGAATCATTTCCGTTAACGGGAACGAGGCGGAGCTCTACTCCTCATTGTTATTGCTTTTACATTTACGAGTATGGTTTGATTGTAGTGTCCTACCTATGCAGGGGACGGGAGAAATGATAATTCCTTTTAGTAGAGGCCATATTTCCGATTTTCGCCTTATGTAGGGTAACCGTGGAGGTGTGCCTTACCGGTAGGTAAACGCCTAGCCAACAACTTTCAGGATCTTTGTGGAAACTACTGGATGTTTTGTAGTAGCTAGCACACGCCCCTAGCAATCAATTCGTCTCGTTCGTTGCAAACGTGGGGGGAGCGTCGTCTGCAGCGCGGAAAATCATCACACACTCAAAGTACCGTGTTAATTGGCTTATCAATTTATCTGCTTGATAACCAGTTCGTTCGTACTTTCATTTGCTGTACTTATGTAACAGCTAAAAATGTGCTCAAAAGTAATAATGTTTATTTAATTTAATTAAATTGATCACAAATTTTTTATTTATTCATAAGTAAGTGGTAGTATTCTCCGGTCTAATGACCATCGATAACTTGTCAGCGTTATGGACTATGAGCGGTTAAGCACCTAAGCAATTCTTCATTCCCTAATTCCTGTCATTTTTATATTCTTCATTTCCTCGAATAATTGTTCCAATACTTGCTCTGGATTGGCTATATCGTATTCCGGGGTTCTAACTAAATATGTATGTATCAATAATGTAGGGAGGATAAAGTATTTGTCACTGATCAATTCCGTTTGGGATGCCCCTACCCCATTTGACTCTCCTTCAATTTCGTAGTGGGGTTTTCTAATGCTTATTTGGCCTCTACAATGACTTGCGTAGCCTGCTGATGTACAACCCATCGCTTTTATCCTCCCACATTCTCTGAAGGACCTCGGAGGGAAGGGCTGGGTGGCCAAGGAAGATATGAATCCGGGAACCGATCCTTGAACCATCTTTGAGCGATAATGCGCCAGTTACCACTACAGTCTCTCCCCTCTAAATATGTATGTAATAAGGATAACCAAAATGAAGAACTCCCTCTGCAGTTTTCAAATTCTCGTGGAGATAAAGCATTGACTCGGGCTACAAGTTGGAACACACTGTCTTAAGATGGATTCCTCAAGTTCATTGGCTTTCACTAATTTGCAGTAAATCGTCGATGTGAATTTGGTTGGTTCCAAGGTTCATTTTATGACTTTCGGCTACTGAGTGTCAGTGAAATAATACTCTGGATGAAATTGAGAGTAAAGCTTACTCCAAAACAGATCAATGGGCATGAATTTCTTCGTTGTTTACTCATTTGCATATTTACATATGTAAATACTTCCACCAGAAACGATAGAACGCGTATCGAAATGTGGCTTTCTAGGTTGTTTTTCCTAGCTGTAGACTTCTTACTATTCCTTCTACACTTTCACAGCATCATTTAAAAAATTTTATTACATTTTTTTCTTCCTCAGAAAGTGCTTTTCAATAGTTTTTCGTTTACTCTCTCCCTCGAGATTCTTGCTAATAGGCTGACTACACGGGGCAGCCAAGGCGTGTGAGCGGACAACTTTCTTGTAGCGAGTAAACAAACAGAGAATTTAGCAGATCAATAAAGCAGCAGTAGCAGCGAGTAATAGTATTTTCCCATCGAGCCCGTTTCTAAAGACTGAATGGGCATAGTCTCTATAGTCGACTATTCATTGGGAACCTCTATCCACCTCAATGAGTTAATTCTTCCCGTGTTGGGCCGTTAGTTTACGTTGGTCAGCATCCAGGTGAACATTCAAATAGGTAAAATAGATGTCTCTTTCCTTCTGAGAGCATGGCTTACGCAAGTAAGCACGACCAAATCACATAAGCCATGCTCTCGAAAGGGGAGGTGCTGACTACCAGCTACCTCTTTCTGGTGGAGGCGTTTCTGGGGCTCTGATTCATCGCAAACTACTGCGACAATCACTTCACTGAGTGANAGCTCTGAGCTTTGGTTAACTATCTCATTGCCTTCGTCGTTATTATAATGGTGTTCACTAATGCCTGATTATTACAATTCTTTCGATAAATGCATGTTATTATGTTTTAAATTGAACTATTTCCTCATTTCACATTGTCTGTCGCTTCATGTCGCCATCTGTCGCATGTGGAAGCCGGTTGTATAAAATCGTGTTGTTGTCACTGTTGCCACTTACTACTTTTTCTGCGGTACTTCAATTTTTGTAGCCCCACTCTCATGTGCTTATACTAGCTTGCTAGTGCTCGGTATTGGTAGGCCCAACTTCGTTTTTTGTCGCCTTATGAATCCTGATGCAACTACCTGTGAGATCCAGTTTCTCTCGTCTGTGACTCATCGTTCATTCAACCGTCGTTCCCTGAATCATTTGCTTTCACTGCCACTTCCTGACTCGGTTTTTGAATCCTTCACATCTTCTGGAACTTCATTTGCTGTATCCTCTAACCACGGTAGTTTCAATGTTCACCTTCTAACACTTCACTTCACTTACTGTTTCCAGTCATGACCTATCAGAATGTTTAAAAACCTTGCTTCATATTGAAAAACTAAAGATTTGAGTAAATTAGATAAACATCGACTGTAAGGGAAGTAAGCTGCGCAAAAGGGATTAGATGCGTGATGATCAGCTGTTTATTCGCATGACGCTTCAAACGTACAGCTAGTGGTGGGAGATGTAGGGGTGGCCTTGCTCCCTCCATCGCCATATCACCAAATTGAAGGCTAAGGAGTTTTTTTTTTCTAGATTTTTGCGATTTTTATTTCCTTGACTCTAATCATCCACCACATTATAGCCCCACATGTCGCCTCGCCCTGCACTTTAGTCTATTTTGTGGCACAAAATATTACAATCATAATGAGAGCATTCTGTTCCTCCCTGTGGATTCTCATGTTTTCACTTGCTCTAGTGCATTGCAAAGTAGGAACACGCCGCACCTTTTGGAACTTCGGAAAACGCGGAAAGAAGTCCCATTCCCCAGTTCCGACCTTCACATCTCAGAGCATTGCAAGAAACTGTCTTCGTTGCAACCTTCTTCACTTACGTAGCTATAAATCATCGGAAAAATCAGTTGTAATGACTTTACTAACGTCAAATGTCGGCACTGGAGTTATTTGTCCTTGAAAAGCTCTGCCCAACTTCTATTGGTATCCACTTTTTTATCAGCAATTAACATCATGATGCGCCACGCTTCCGAATTCTGTCTACAGTCGCAGAACTGTTTGAATATGTTTGCAATAATCTGTAGCACCAGGATAATCTGAGACCAGCATTTTGTTCTTTCGAGAAAATCCACAACAGAGACAATAAGGAAAATAGCTCCTGTTCAAGACAAGACCGAAGGACTACCATAAGAGATGGTTTGGAAAAATAATGAGGTGACAGAAATTCCACGCAAGGCCTTTGAGTTCAAATCACGACAAAAGGATGCCA